AAAAAAAAAAAAAAATCTTGGGGCCTGATGGCTTCACTGCTGAATTCTAGCAAGCATTTAAACAAAAAAATATATATATACTAATTTTACTCAAACTATTCTGAAAAATAGAGAAAGAAGGAATACTTCCAAACTCATTCTATGAAGCCAGTATTACCCTTATGCCAAAACCAAAGACACATCAAAAAAGAAACTATAGGTCAATACCACTGATGAATACTGATGCAAAAATCCTCAATGAAATACTAACAAACCAAATTCAACTGTACATTGAAAAGATCATTCATCATAACCAAGTGGATTTATCCCAGGGATGCCAGGATGGTTCGACATATGTGAATCCATCAATGTGATACATCCTATCAACAGAATGAAGGACAAAAACCATATTATTATTTCAACTGATGCTGAAGAAACATTTGACTAAGTTCAACCTCCCTTCATGATAAAAACCCTCAGAAAACTGGAGATAGAAGGAACATATCTCAACATACTAAATGCTGTATTCAGTGGACTCACAGCTAATACTGTACTGAATGAAGAAAAACTAAAAGCCTTTCTTCTAAGATCTGGAACATGACAATAATACCCACTTTCTCTACTGTTATTCAACATCATACTGGGAATCCTAGCAAGAGCAATGAGATAAGAGAAAAAAATAAAGGGCATCTATATTGGAAAAGAAGAAGTCAAGTTATCCTTCTTTGCAGGTGATATGATTTTATATTTGGAAAACCTGATGATTTCACTGAAAAACTATTCAAACTGATAAACAATTCAGTAAAGGTGCAGGATACAATACGGACATACAATAATCAGTAGCATTTCTATATGCCACCAGTAAACAATCTCAAGAAAAAAATCGGGAAAGCAATGCCATATATAACAGCTACATAGGTAAAATAAAATATCTAGGAATTAACCAAGAATTAGAGGATCTCTACAATGAAAACTATAAAACATTGATGAAAGAAATTAAAGAGGTCACACACAAAAAAATGGAAAGCTATTTGATGTTCATATAGATTGGAAGAATCACTATTGTTAAAATGTCCATACTACCTAAAACAATCTACAGATTCAATGCAATCTCTATCAAAATACCAAAGACATGCTTCACAGAAATAAAAAAACAACCCTAAAATATATATGTAACCACAAAAGATCCAGAATAGCCAAAGCTGTACTGAGAAAAAAGAACGAAACCGGAGGAATCACATTACCTGACTTTAAATCATACTACAGAGCTATAGTAACCAAAGTGGCATGGTACTGGCATAAAAACAGATACTTGGAGCAATGGAACAGAATAAAGAACCCAGAAACAAATCCATACATCTACAGTGAACTCACATTCAACAAAGGTGCCAAAAACATACACTGGGGAAAGGACGATCTCTTGAATAAATAGAAGGAAAACTGGATATCCACATGCAGAAGAATAAAACTAGACCACTCTCTCTTGTCATAAACAAAATTCAAAATAAAATGGATTAAAGACTTAAATCTAAAACCTCAAACTATAAAACTACTAAAATCAAACAATGGGAAAACATTCCAGGACACTGGAGTAGGCAAAGATTTCTTGAGTTTTACTCCAAAAGCACAAGCAACCAAAGCAAAAATTGACAAATGAGATCACATTAAGTTCAAAAGCGTCTACGCAGCAAAGGAAACAACAAAGTGAAGAGACAACCCAAAGAACGAGAGAACATATTTGCAAACTATGTATCTGACGAGGTATTGAAAACTAAAACATATCAGAAGCTCGAGCCACTCCATTAAAAAATCAAATAATGTGATCAAAAAATGGGCAAAATATCTGAATAGACATTTCTCAAAACATACCAATGGCAAACAAGTATATGAAAAGGTGTTCAGGCCGGGCGCGGTGGCTCACGCCTGTAATCCCAGTACTTTGGGAGGCTGAGGCGGGTGGATCACGAGGTCAAGAGATCGAGACCATCCTGGTCAAATGGTGAAACCCCGTCTCTACTAAAAATACAAAAAATCAGCTGGGCATGGTGGCACATGCCTGTAATCCCAGCTACTCAGGAGGCTGAGGCAGGAGAATTGCCTGAACCCAGGAGGCGGAGGTTGCGGTGAGCCGAGATTGTGCCATTGCACTCCAGCCTGGGTAACAAGAGTGAAACTCCGTCTCAAAAAAAAAAAAAAAAAAAAAAAAAAAAAAAAAAAAAAAAAAAAAATGAAAAGGTGTTCAACATCACTGATCATCAGAAAAATGCAAATCAAAACTACAATGAGATAACATCTCACCCCAGTTAAAATGGCTTTTATCCAAAAGACAGGCAATATCAAATCCTGGAGACAATGTAGAGAAAAGGGAACACTCATACACTGTTGGCAGGGATGTAAATTAGTACAACCACTATGGAGAACAGTTTAGAGATTCCTCAAAAAACTGAAAATCAAGCTATCATATGATCCAGCAATCCCACTCCTATATATACCCAAAAGAAAGGAAATCAGTATATTGAAGAGATATCTGCACTCCCATATTTATTGCAGCACTATTCACAATAGCCAAGATTTGGAAACAACCTAAGCGTCTATCAACAGGTGAATGAACAAAGAAAATGTGGTAAATATACACAATGGAGTATTATTAAGCCATAAAAAAGATCCTGTCATTCGCAATAGCATCAATGAAACTGCAGGTTATTATGCTAAGTGAAATAAGCCAGACACAGAAGGACAACCTTAGCATGTTTTCATGCAAGAGCTAAAAATTAAAACAATTGAACTCATGGAGACAGCGAGTGTAAGGATGGTTACCAGAGGCTGGGAAGAGAGTGGGGATGGTTAACGGATTTAAAAAATACATATATAGAATGAATAAGACGTAGTATTTGCTAGCACAACAGGGTGACTATAGTCAGTAATAATTTAATTACACTTTTAAAAATAACTAAGAGTATAATTGGGCCAGTCATGGTGGCTCACACCTGTAATCCCAGCACTTTCAGAGGCCGAGACAGGCAGATCACAAGGTCAGGAGATTGAGACTATCCTGGCTAACTTGGTGAAACCCCGTCTCTACTAAAAAATACAAAAAATTAGTTGGGCATGGTGGCATGTGCCTGTAGTCCCAGCTACTCAGGAGGCTGAGACAGGAGAATCACTTTAACACAGGAGGTGGAGGTTGCAGTGAGCCAAAATCACACCACTTCACTCCAGCCTGGGCGACAGAGCAAGACTCCATCTCAAACAAACAAACAAACAGAAATTTATTCATATCTGACATCTACTGCTACAGAATATTCTGTGGAAAATCCTCTGTAGGTAATGAAAAACCCTCGAAAGTATTTGACAGAAAGTGGCTTGATTTGCTCTCTCTTTTAGAACATTTAATGTAGTCATTTCATAGTTTAAGCTAAAGTGTAAAAGATTGAAAATATTGAGCTCAGTTAAGAAAGTGATACAATATCTGAAGTGAAAGATGAGAAAAGTAATGAGTAATAGGTAGAGGCTATGTTGAAAAGACTAATGGTACTAATAAGTATTAGCATAATACTTCTCAGAAACTATGAGCAAAGAATTATGTTAAATATAGTCATAAGGTTTATTTTATTTAATCTTCTAAATAACTCTGTGAAGGTAACCTCTAAGGTACCCATTTTGTAGATTTAGAAATTGAGGACTAAAAATGTTAAATGAACTATGCAAGTTCACACAGCTAGAAAATGATGGTGACAAGACTTGAGTCCTGATATGAGTCCAAATACTATTCACATACTTATTTAGTGGCACTATCAATATATAATCAACCAATTACTTTTTGATCATCAGCCCTAAGAGGAGGAAGTTGAAAAAGACTACAGGGTTTCCAGCTCAGTGAAGGTGATGGGATCATCATAATCTAGTTCCCAATAAATGAAACGTAGAAAGAAAAGTGGAGTGGGAGTTCTACATCCTAGGAGGAATAACCAGTTAATAGGTGGATTTGTGTGTTTAACACTCAAAAGAGAGTTTTAGGCTAGAGAGAGGGATGTGGGACTCATCAGTGTTGGTGATAAAGAAATGAGTATACATGACCTTTTCTGGAAAAACATGAAAAAATGAGAGTCGAGACTGTGAATCCCAAGAGAGTACTCCAATTTTGGCAAACTGGCCATGAATAATGTGCTATAATTCCTAATTCTGGGTCTGGTCAAAAACCAGATATAAGAGAGAATCAAGAGTAACCTGTTTCCTCTTACTTTGTCTGTTCCCTGGACTCTGAGTTGTAGCAGAGGGAAGTACTGCAAATCAGCAGTTGATTTGCCTTAATTATGCCAAACTGCCTTCATGAGGAGAGGGTTTACTAATCACTAGTTTTGTGGACTAATTTAGCTGGTCATTCCAGTATACCATAAAGACGCCTGTTATGACCTCAAGGAGACAATTGTGCTCCCAATCATTTTTCAAACATTTAGTATGTGTCAGGCATTCTGTAATGCATTGGGGGTACAAATATGAATAATATATACTCTTCTGATTTCAAGGAGTTTACAGTCGGCTGAAGGTACAAATGAACGAACAATTCATTACATTACAACTTATCATGCACATTTGGAGATTTGTACAAGATGCACTAGACGTGCAAAGATAGGACCCTTAACTTGCCTGGAAAAATTAGAAAAGACTTCTCAGGGAAGGCAGTTCTTGAACTAAAATTTGAAGGAGAGGAAGTTTTTCCAGATGGCTAAAGGAACAATGCACATTTGGGATTTTTTTTTTTAATTAAAACTCCTTCAGATAGTAAATATAAAATTATTTTTATCTACTTCTTTATAACCTCATTTCATGTGGTATTCAGCTCCCTGTGCTTCTGGCATCTATCTAGTCTACTGAGGGTACCAAAGCCTCATATTAGAGGCATGTACACTTAGTTATTACTTCTGGGTTGTAGAGAGGAATGTGCAAAGAGATTAGAGAAAACAAACAGGAGAAGGAAAAAGAATTTTAAGAAAAGAAAGGAAAGTGGGGGGGGAGGGTGAAATAGAAAGAAGAGGAAGAAAAGCCTTCTCAGTCCAGGAAATCTCTGTATTTCACATCTAGCTTCCTTGAAGGAGCTGGACATGAAGATTCATGAGGATCCATCAGCCCAGAGGGAAGGTGCAGCACCAAGTCTTGATGTCAAAGAACCGGTGGGCTATACCCTCACGTATCTGCTTGGTCTTCACACCATAGACAATGGGGTTCAGCATTGGTGGCACCACCACATAAAGATTGGCCAGCAAGATATGGACATGTTGAGGAATGTTACGCCCAAAACGGTGGGTCAATAAGGTAAAGAAGGATGGAACATAAAACATGAGGATGACACAGAGGTGGGAGCCACAAGTGCTGAGGGCCTTGTGCCGAGCATCCTGGGAGGGCAAACGAAACACTGCTCGGAGGATCAGTGAGTAAGACACAGCAATGAGGATCACATCCAAGATGACCATGACAATGGGCACTGAGAAGCCATACCAGATGTTAACAGTGATGTCAGCACAGGCTAAACGAGCCACTCCAATATGCTCACAGTAGGAATGAGGAACAATGTTGGTTCGGCAGAAGGGCAGCCGCTTCAGCAAGAATATGACTGGGAAGATGATGCAGAAGCTTCGGGTGATGATGGCCAGAGCAATCCTTCCCACAACAGGCCATGTTAGCATTGTTGTATATCTCAGTGGGGCACAAATGGCCACAAAGCGGTCAAAGGCCATGGCTAACAGGATAGCTGACTCCCCAACAAACGTCATATGAATAAAGAAGACTTGAGTGACACAGGCATCAAAAGCAATGTTATGGGCATGGAGCCAAAAGATGGCTAGGGCCTTGGGCACAGTGGTGGTAGACAGCAGGATGTCCGTGACGGCCAGCATGGAGAGGAAGAAATACATGGGCTCATGAAGGTTACGTTCTATGATGATAACCACTATCAGGATGCTGTTTCCCAGGACTGCAGTGATGTAAATGAGGCAAAGAGGTATTGACAGCCAAATGTGATAAGCCTCCCACCCAGGAATGCCAAGTAGGACAAAAACTGCAGGATGGAAGACAGTAAGGTTAGTGTGACTCATGATGCACTTTATGGTCCTCTCTATGACGACTGAAAAGCTGATGAGTCCACTGAAAGTGATAGAAACAGAAAGCACTCCTGAATATGTATAAATATCATAAAAGACAGCATGAATTTCTAAATTGCCGGCACAGGCCAGCAATTGCTGGGCTAAATTGCTGGGCTTTCCAGGGTCAAGTTCTCCCAGAGAATGTTCACTTGGGTGTAGGAATGGCTTCTCGACCATGGTGCTTCCTTTGCATATAGAGCTTCTGTGGCAATAATGCTTCAGGTACCAACAGAGGCAGCAACACCTGCCTTCAACTACCCTGCCCCCAGAGTTTGGCCCCACCCTCCCTTTCTGACCTCATTCTACTATTTCCACACAAGTAGCATTTTCCACTTACCTGTGTTATGCTTGTCCCTTGCCCCAAGACTTTGCTCTACATTTACCTTTAATTTTCCTCCCCTTCTACTTCTGTTTACCAAAATTTTAACCTTAAAATAACTCCTTAAGACATACCACTTTGTAATGGCCTGTGTTCATAGCAATATATCTCCTTCCTGAAAACCTATTAACTAAACTATATTTTAACTTTGTTATATTTAATCCTATTAAATTTATCTGGTGATTGCCTTGAACATTTCACAGGACACTAGCACTTGTGGCTCCCTGTGTAAGGAAGTAGAGTATCAAGTGGGAATCCAGAGGAAGCCTAGAGGGGTACATTTCTCCACTCTGATCCAGATTCATCTCTTTCCCAATGCACTAAACAATGGGGCAGCCAATGAAACAGAGAGAGGACATTTTCATCACCAGCTCCTCATGGTCTTCTCATGCTCCCCCCAAATAGTTCTACACAGGGTGCTCCTGGTTATGTCTGAGTTTCATTATCTATAGATGCCCCCCAGGAAAATGATTCTGAGCAAAAGAAATCAATATATTGCCCACCTGTAGCCTCTGCTGATTCCGCTAATACTGCCCTTCTTCCCACCCCACTGTTCCCTAACCCTCAGAAAGAACCATGTTTCCCTGCTGCCAAGAAGGGTTAAGTATAGAGTCCTTCTTGGCTTTCCTGCCACTCAGGTAATATTTGTTTCTTTATGAAGCCCTGAACTATCTGTCAGCTATTAGGACTAGGGAAAGAATGTGTGATTAAGAATCTAGAAGGAAACATGAAGAAAAGGAACCACAGACAGTAAAGAGAGAATCAGGAGTATAAACACTAGATTGATCTTCTGATAATGGTATTCAGAGGGCCGCAAAGAAGAGATGCAAAGGAATAAAATCCTCAGTTTATGAGTCCATCCATCTCCCTGCCTCTATGCAAATGAACTTGCTCAGAGCATGGTGGGCTATGGGGAGGGAACAATGGGACTCCAGATAGGTACAAGGAAGGGAACAGAGCCAGATCCAGACAAGTAAAGGTCACAGGCAGGCTAATAATTTGACATCACTCAAGCCAGTATTTAAATATTTGGGCCAGGTATAGTGTCTCACGCCTGTAATCCCAGAACTTTGGGAGGCCAAGGCAGGAGGATCACTTGAGGCCAGGTATTCAAGACCTGCCTGGGTAACATAGCAAGACGCTGTCTGTACAAAACAATTTAAAAATTAGCCAGGCATGATGGCACACACCTGTAGTCCCAGCTACTTAGTAGGCTGAGGCAGGAGGATCTCTTGAGCCCAGGAGTTTGGGGCTGCAGTGATATATATATATATATATATACACATATATATATACACACACACATACATATACACACACACATATATATATTAAATATAATATATATCCCAAATATATATACATATTATATATATATATGTGTGTGTGTGTGTGTGTGTGTGTTGTGTGTGTGTATGTTCAACTTCTACTTAGAAGACAGCCTGAGCTTTGCTGGAATGAGCACACAGAAGTCATTAGTAGCATTGCTCTGCCTCTATTTTAAAGTATTGAACTCAAATTTATATAAGCAAAAGCCTCCCCCCCAAAAAATTCATTTTCCTTAGGAGGAAATTTATTGAACATTTATTTTCTCACAACTTTCCCTACCCCTCCAGTTATTAACATATTCCTTCTCAATAAAACAGTAAGATACCTGATATACGTCCTTGTAAAAACAACTTCTGCTCTCTGCTTATGGCTCTGTGATGTTTTAACACCCCAACAGTGAGATACCAAGGCACGTGAAGAGTGGGGCAGTGAGGCCTCCATGCCTGTTAATGAGTTTCTGGAAAGGAGGTTACTGCCAGTGGAAAGAAGGACTTTCATTTCATTCAGAGACTTCTTAGAGCTCCATCAAAGCCCTGCTGCTTCTCTGTCAAGCACCTTTGGAGGGTTCAAGTCTCATTTAGGAAAGAGTTAATGGTGAGAAGAAAAGAAACTCAGGAAAAAAGAGGCATATCCAATGTCTCACAGAAGTACCTCTCAGAGCCCCCAAGAGAATATCCAGCTGAGCAAGGAAAAAAGAGCCAGAACAGTAGAGATGGGGCAAGAAGCCAAGATGGCTGGGAAAGAATACAACAAAGAGGGTGCAGACATTAAGTTCTGGGGCCAGACTTTCTGCATTCATTTCCCAGTTCTTCCTGAACTAACTAGATCTTGGAGAAGTCACTTTGCTTCTGCAAGTCTCAGTATTTTTAATTGGAAGATGTGAGTAATGAAAAAAAACTTCACGTGGTAATTGTGAGGATTAAATAAACTAATCTACATTAAGTGCTCAGAAAAGTGGGTTATTATTCTTGTTTATATCATCATCACCATCATTATTATTATTATTAAATCTGTTTGGCCATCATTCTGTTGTGTTTTTTCCAGTAGGCAAAACATCTTAATGAATATTTAGCAACATTAAAGTCTTATTCTTCATTCAAATATGACCAAAGAAAACTCCTTTCCCAGGAAGAAAGAGGAGAAAAAGAAATGAAGGAAATGCCCAATGAAAGGAAAATAGCCTGAGACCAGACCTCTCAGATGGAACTGGTGTGGCATGTCCACTAGTGATGGACTTAGCTTGGGTGAGAACCACCTGGCCATCTTCCTTCAAATGCTTTGAAAAACACCCATCTGTCTCAATACAAAGAGAAATTATCTCCATCATTTACAGAAGCCCCAGGAACACTGTAGAACAACAGGAGTCAGCTTCAACTGTAGAACTAAGGAGATTTAGACAGGGGAATCAAAGACATTTGGTCCACACTTTAAAGGAAAGATGGAGCCACTTCTCTGCAGCTCCTGACCAGATTTCCTGACCAGCTCTATTTTTTGATAATAACCATTTCCTCTTTTGGGGGTTATATAAAGGTCTTTTATGTCTTTATGCAATCTCAATTCAGAAGACTCTCCTACCATCGTTACATTGTATTAAAATGTGCTCACAAACCACATGTGATATAATGTTTAGGTAACTATATAGGAATTGAGTTACCTCTTTGCCTAGTTGTATTATCTAGATATTTATTTGTACAAGTATTAATTTCACATTTCCATTTTCCTTGTTATGTGCATTTTACATGTCAAGCATTTTTCATCACTCTTAGAATCTTCAAAATACACAATCTCTGTATGCTAAAATCATGTCCCTAATGGATGAGACAGCTGCAAACCTCACTACCCCACTGCCCTCTGCTCCTAAGGATGGTCTCTGTTTGCAGCACAATATATTGCAGGCTTTGTTATAATATGTGTCATAAGAAATTTGTTTCTAATAACATATAAAGTCTCAAAATTTGTAAATAATTTACTCTTCTAATATATTAAGGAAAATTCAGATTTATACCTTTAGTAAGCTCATTCTTGCCCACATGCACTTAAAGCCAGCCTGTAAGATGTTTTCATAATCTAAAGCTAGTGTTGTCCAAGCTGCAGAGGCACTGAGAGTCCCTTAATTTGGACAACCCTTAATAGTAACTCATGGTTTTTTAATTACTTTTTAGTTGGCAAATAAAAATGGCAGACATTTATGTTGTATAACATGATGCTTCATATATGTATACATTGTGAAATGGCTAAATCAAGGTAATTCATGCTTATTATCAGACATATTTATTTTTTGTGGTTAAAATACTTAAAATCTACTCTCAGTAATTTTCAAATATAAAGTATATTGTTATTAATTATGGTCAGCATGATGTTTGATAGATTTTTTAAACATATTCCTCCTATTGTCTTGTTTTTTCATTTGATCAACATCTCTCTAATCACCCCTGAACCTCAAGCCTCTGACAACCAGCATGATTTACTTTTTTAATGAATAAACATCTTAAGAAAAATTCCCACCTATCAATTTGTTTTACTATCTATAAGCATTTTTGATATTTTTTCAGAATTTGAGTAAGCATATGGTGATGTATCATGTGTAAATATCTTCTGTGTTCTTGTGATATAGTAGCAAAAATGTGAAGAACCCCAGCTCCAAAACACCACCTCTTCCTTCCCAACGTCTATATCTGTTCCACAAGATGCAGGACAAGAAACAGAAGAAAGAGGATTTTTCAGGTTTTAGATACATCTGACACCCAGATTACCAAAAGAAAGTTTCCTTAAGACTTTGGGACTGAGGAGTTTATAGCACTAAGTACAGAGCCTGACACATTGTAGGTTCTTAGGAATCTTTACTTGAAAAAAATAAGCCATGGAATTAGTGAATTAATCTTTCTCCAGTAGCTTTGCTTGTTTCCCCAAAACAAGGTGGTGATCAAAACCTAAGCCATTTTCATGAATACCCACTACTAATATACCCTTCCCTGGTATAGTCTGATTCTGATGGGTCTATAAACTTCCCTCAAACCCTTAAACAAGAGGTTTTCTCTTTCTCACATGCGCCTGGTGCTTTGCCTGGCCCCTCTTTGCATTCCTATTCCTATATCTCATCAGTGTCTACCACCTAAACCCACTCATGTATTTCCCAGTGCCCACACTCCCCATTCTGTGCTGTCATGCAGCAATCCTTCTCTCATCCTTTGTCTTACTGGCCCCCTATCTTTCTCCCACATACCCATTTCTTTTCTCACAACTTGTCTTTGTCCTTACAGACACTCCTATCTTTCTTCTTCTCTCTCTCTCTCTCTATCTCTCTCACACACACACACACACCCCTGCCAATCCCTCCCTCTGCCACTACTAATGCTCTTAAACTCACCTACTATATCACAATATCAGCTGAAGAATTGAGAAAATGGT